GACATGTTTGCTGCTCTTGCTGTCGAAGTAACTGCAGCTCCCAATGCTGTGCTAAGATCAAGGTCAATTGGCTTTCCAGTGTGTACCTGTAAATCACATCCCTTGCTCATGTGAGCATCTAAATCAGGCATCAGCAGAAAACGAGCTCCCAGCTGGGAACAGTATATAAACCAGTGAAATATAAATGCCTGGTACAAAAGGCAACAAAGTCCCCAGTCACCACCACTGAATAAAAAGGTTGATGGGAGTTTCCATCTTTACCAATGGAATTTCCAGTAGATGCAGGCAGAGAATAGTCCTCAGAGCCTGTAATTTGGTTTGCTCCCATCACCACTGGTGCTTTTAAAAGAAAACAGCTGCTGCTTTATTTTTTATTTTATTTTTAAACTGTGACAGCAAGAAAGTTAAAGGAATGATCCCTTGAAATCTATTTTGACAGAGGCCAGCATTTCAAAATGAGAAGAGAGAGCCCAGTTTTTAGTTTCTTGGTCTCTAAGGAAATTTTCAAGGACATCAGGAGATCATTGCAAAAGGATTCCTGGGAAGTCATTAGGGTGGGTTTTTTTCAAGGGGAGGACAGTGGGACGTGGAAACAGCAAGCTACGGAATTAGCCAGGTTACAATAATGACTTCTCTGGATCAGATGCTATTTGCACTATTCTAACCCTTAGTATTTTTTTTTCTGACAAGGCACATGAACCTGCTTAACTCTGGGCAACGTACACTGTCAAACCTACAAATCAGTGGGATTCCCCAGGATGTGAAATGACTTTGGTTGCTTTTTCTCTGCCTTATAACCCTAAACTCAAGGAGATTTCTCGAGGCAGCAATGCAACTTTACATGAACAAGTGTCAAAATCTGGCCATAGACTTTAAAAGACCTATCAAGCCTTTTGGTTTATTATCTGTTATTATTATAATAATTTTCCATTTACTTCTCCAGAGGTATTTAATGTCATTTCTACCTTTTATCCAACCTGTTTCTTTTATATACTGACCTTGGTAATATTTACTCCAGCACTTAATGGTAAAAAGTCCACCCCAGCATGATTCTCTGCTGCTGTTAGCTATGGCTGTTGGGTATTGGTGCAAAGTGAGCATAAAGACTCATGTTCTTATGAAATAATATTTGAAAACTTGCATTTTGCAGGTGCAAAGGACTACAGGAGATGATGGGAAATCAATGCACTGCTTGAGAAAGCAAGTATTCCACCTTAGTGCTATCAGCAGCAGTGACCTTTCCTGGCTAATACAAATGTGGGACAGAACCTGGCACCCTGCTCGTCTTTCAGAGCAAAATATCATGGGTCCCAGTTTTGACAAGGATGTTTCAGATAAGGTGGCAGGAAAATTTTTTTGAGGGTTTCTAGACCTGGAAGGGATTGCTTGGCAAGATCTTAGGTGTCCCTCTCAGGGAAATTTCCAGAACCAGCTGAACACACATCTGCTCAAGCAGGGCATGGGCTGGGGCTTTGCAAGGTCCCTCTCAGCCAGCACATTACAGTGATGCCATAAAATTTAAAACAAAGCATTGAGTATCAAGATACACTGGGGCCCATGGAAATCCCGGAGGTAGGACAACGTCTAACGCAGTTCTTAGGAAACAGAGAAGAGATTACCCATGGTCATCTCTTCTGATCTCTGAGGGAAGCCTGTACTGCATCAGTGCCATTCCCTACATCTCTTCCCAAGCCTTTACTCCCTTGGTGAACCCCGGGGCTGTGGCAGCACAGTCAGTGCACCGGTGCTGGTCCACCAGCAGATGGGAGTCTCACTGGTATGAGGCCGGGGTAAACTGCTTCTGTGGCATCCAGGCTCCAGAATTAAACAACTGGGTGCAAAACCAAAACATCCCCTAGAAAGGCTCTTTTTCACAGTCGCCGGACAACCAGAACTCGGGGAGGAGTTCAACAGATTCCTCAGTTTTCAGCTGAAACTGGGCGCTGCTTAATTTCTATTCAACGTGGTCATCAGACCAAAGTTTGGGGTTAATCTCACTCAGTGGCACCAAGGTCCTCGGAAAAAGCAAGGCATGTGGGAGAAACCTGCTGAGGAGACAGTAATGAGCACTACTAATGAGCAGGGAGGGAATCAAGCATGCACTGCATCAAAGGCACAGCATCGTTCTGCAGGCAAACAGCATTCCCTCTTCACCTCCAAGTCAGCTGCAGTTCAGACCTCAGCAGTAACAAGTAATTTTCTTCTGCACCGTGTTGCTAGTACCTTTTGACTGTTACTGTTACTTTTGGTTATCAGTATTGCTTTTACAGTCATAATTAGCTCCACCCATGGTCTGAACTCCATGGTGTGAGGCAGTGCAGACCAGGAGCAGGGTGACCCTTCCATGAGGATTTCACAGCCTGTCAGGGAAGGAGCCATTGCCATTCCTTAGCAAAGACTCATTTCTCGGTTCTTCCAATTAACCTGGTAAAGTGGCAGATTAACAGAGACGGGGTCAGTGTCTGTCCAGATTCATTTCACCTGTGCTGCTGAGCAGTTGTATTTTCACGTGTGCTTTGTGCATCTGTTCTCTAGCCACCAGTGGTGCTGGGGTGGGAGAGAGGAGCTTCTCCAGTGCAGACTGAATCTGATGATTCCCTTAGAGATAGCTTGGGATAATAATTTGAGACTCTGGGAACTTAATCTTCTGCCCTTCTACACATCTGGGGTCACCTTTCTTCTCAGGTAAGGGCCAGCCACTGTTGTCTGCCTTAAAGGGCTGGAGCTGCTCTTTCTTTTCTGTATGATGGGGCTGCAGGGGGAGGGGGATGGTATGAGACAGCAGCGTGTGTGACCAGGGAGCTTTATCAGACACACAGAAATAGGCAACAAAAAAAGTCCTGACCTCCCAGCAGCTGGTGCCATTGCCACCAGTCAGTCCTTACCATAATGCATCTCTTCCCCCTTGCAAATGTGTTTATCCTTCTAAAAAGGGTGCGTTTGCAGCTGAGTCCACATAGGAATCCTATGAAATCGTCATGGTGTGCTTCCCCTTCTAGCCCTGCGGATCTGAGCAGCACGTTCACCTCCCACTGCTGCAGGACCAGCCTCGCATATCTGATGTGATCACAGATGGCCCTGGTCCTGCCCCCCGGGTATGAAATACAGACAGCAGGCAGCAGGACTCAACAGGTCAGTGTCTGAGTTTCAACAGGGATGTTTTACTGTATTTTCTTTCAAGGGAATTTCCAACTATGGGTGAAGTTTGGTCAGTTCTACAGTTTTTATTTCCCTGGTGAACCCAGGGAGGCTGGGCCAAAGGGATGATTATTTTTATTAGCTCCTCTAAGAGCCTTGGGCTAGACTTCCTGGTGTTTCAGTACTATGAGATGCAGATAATGAAAAATTCACCAACAGTCCTGAGTACACCATCCACCTCCTGAAAAGCTACTGGAAGGGGGTTCCCACTGCAAAGGCTGGATATGCTTTCAGGTTCTGAACCTCCCTCTGTCCCCAAGAACAGCAGCACCAGACATGCCTTTGAGGACACCCATAGAACCACTCTGGTCTCTTCTAATGCTGACAAAACCTGTAAGTCTTTACTCCTCTCTGAGGCTGCTCTCCTCACTACCTGGACTCAGCCAACCCCTTTGTCTCTGTGGTCTCTCAGCCCATCTTCGCAAGTGAGGGGGAGCCCAAATCTTTGCACACTCACTAAGGGGTCAAAATTACTGCACCCCTTGCAACAGAGAGCAAGCTGCATCTGCAGAGCCATTCCCAGCCAGCAGCTCTCCCCTAGCACCATGTCTCACTTGCCCGTGGCAGGGGTCACAGTCCCTTCCTGCACGTATCAAACAGGGACAGGCTCTGATGCTGAGGTTATTTTTCCAGCTGATTACTGCACACACTGGTGTGCCCTTGCAAGGAGGTATATTACAGTCTCATTGTGGTCTCATTTCTACTGCCTCTCTCTAGACCATCCAACAGGGGCTTTAAAGAGCTGTGTAATTCCATGGTCATAGCTTAACTTGGCCTGCAAAATCTTGTGTGTGATTTAAACTTCATTTCAGCCTCCTTCACTGCAATGAATTTCTCCTCCTGGTTTACTCTGTCCTAAATGAGGGCAGAATGAAGCCCAACATGTGCAGACACCCAGGCTTTCTTTATCGTTCCCAGGGGCTCCTCCTTCAGCTGTCCTCTTTTTTCTTAACGTTAAGTGTTTGGGGGCTGAAGAGAAACAGGGAATGAGCGTTGTCAGTGGGAATCCAGCTCTCAGCCTGGCTCTCTAATTTGGCAGGTGGCTTTTGAGTAGATCTCGAGTGTTTTACAGAGCTGGCTGAAGAGCATTACTGCTATTTCAAAACTGGGGCAACATAAGCTCAGGGCTGGTTCTGCCTGTGATTACAGAGCCTGGGGGATAGAGGATGCAGTAAGAGAACTTTGCACTCCTGCTTTCCAAAAACATGGCAAGAGTAGTAGAAAATTATGTCCTCCTTCTATAGAAATTTATTGCTTGAGGTAGAATTAGTCAGAACTATTATTGCTTTCAGTAAAAGTCTGCAGGGCTGGAGGTAGCCAAAAAAATATTCAAACTGAAGAAGAAGAGGTGTATTTTAAGGCCACAAAACTTTGCTGTGCTTACGAAGCATTGACCGTGCTGAGAAAAGTCATCAGGAAACTCCCGAGTCTGCCAGCACATCAGCGACTCTTCCCTTCCCCTCGGGGAGTTTTAAAGCCGTGACGGGAGCTCGGCAGGGAAGTGCGCACTCCCGAGCGCTGGCAGGGAGCGGACACGGCACCGGGCGAGGAAAACCCCCCCGCCCCAGCCCCGCACCCCCGGCTCCCGCCCCCGCGGCGGGGCTGGACGGGGCGAGCCCAGCGGGGCACTCGGGGGGCGAAGTTCCCCTTCCCGCGGCTGAGCCGCCCCGTGTCACTTCCTGCCGGCGGCGGGCGCGGAGCGGGGGCCCCGGGAGCGGAGCGGGGCGGAGCGGCACGGGGCGGCGGGGCCGCGGGGCTCGGTCGGCGGGGCTCGGCCGGCCCTGGCCGCGGGCGCTGCGCCGCCCGGCCGCGGCCGAGGATGCGGCGGAGCCTGGCGGCGCGGCTGGCGCTGGCCGCCGGCCTCGGCTCGTTCCTGCTCGTCCTCTTCTACTTCCAGAGCAGCCTCAGCCCAGGTGGGTCCGGGGAGCGCCGCGCTCTCGGCGGGACCCCCGGCGGGAGCGGCGGAGGGGCCAGGGGAGGGTGCGGGCGGAGCGGAGCGGGGGAGCCCCGCACGGTTGGCAGCGCTTTGCTCCTGGAAACCCTCGGGAGTCGGCGAGAGGCGGCCGGTCCGCCGGCGGGTTGAAGTTGGGGTGAACTCGCCGGGGGTTGCACATCCCTCGGCTGGGACCATTGAACTTCGCCGCTGCCCTCGCCCGCAGCGTGTGACCGGCGGTACCGTCCCGGCGATGCTGTTCCGCAGCGAAACTCCCGTGTCATTTCTCAAGCCGCCTTCTTTCGGGTGGATGTCCCGTTCGGTGCCCCGGCGGGGCATGAAACTGCTCGGCTTCGTGCAGCCCTGCCGAGGCTGTGCCGGGGTTGGGACTGGAAAGGGGAGCTACCCTGTCCCGCAAGTGCCCACTTACACCCGCCGTCACTGAAATTCCTGGGAATCGGTTTGAATGGCTCAAGGGACTTCTCTAGCGTCCGCTCTTAAAAATTTCTTCCACACTGGGAAACAATTCAGAACTAAAATATAAACAGTTTTGTACTGGAGGGGTAATTTATTTCCCTGCCCGATTTCTGCTCTTTTGGGGAAATTAGCTCCTCTTCCCTTAGAGACGTTATTGGGTAATTCCTGCCGTTTTAACAATGTACTAATGTTTCCTGAGTACAGCAGCAATCCATCAATGGGGCCTTTAAAGTTACATCTTAAAATTCAGAAGACTGATTTGACTGAAATGTTAATGGAATTTTATCAGTGTGGACTAAATGAAATGCGATTTTTCCTTTTATAGGGGCTGCTCCATCACTTTAATGTGTTTTTTCACTAAAAATAAAAAAAGGCATAACTTGTTGGCTGAGTAAGATTGAAAAGGAGTTGGGTTTCAGCAAGCATTTATTTCTAGATGAGCATGTGAAGTTTGTCAAATGAATTCAGAAATCCCAGAAGACTACAATCAGTATTGTATTCCTTAGTAATTTTTTTATAAAAGAAATAATTTATGCATCTTAATTTTATATTGGAACTGCTCAGTAAAAAGTGCAGCGCTGAAGCAGCTTTAACCTTCAGGTCTCCTAATGGAGAGATGATTGTGTTTTATACAGGATACTCTTTCTAGCATCTGACTGGAAAATGTGGGTCTTTTCAGGACTGTTTTTCAAAAGGGACTTCTGCAGGTCTACGTCAGCAAAACTTTCTGTGCTGAGTTGACTTTAATCCTTTTCCTGATCTCAACTCTGTTTCACAGAGTTCCCGTGAGGAAAGTTGGGTGAGTCAGCAGTGCCCTGGGCAGCCAGGAGGGCCAACTGTGTCCTGGGGGGCATCAGGCAAAGCATCTCCAGCTGGGCAAGGGAGGGGATTGTCCCACTGCTCTGCACTGGGGCGGCCTCACCTTGAACACTGTGGCAGTTTTGTGCACCACAATGTAAGGAAGATACTAAGCTCTTAGAGAGTGTTCAAAGGAGGGCAATGGGGAAGCCGTGTGAGGAGACTGAGGAGAGACCTCATTGCAGTTACAACTTCCTCATGAGGGTAAGAGGAGGGACAGGCACTGATCTCTCTATGGTGACCAGTGACAGGATCTGAGGGAATGGCCTGAACTTGTGTCAAGAGAGGTTTAGGTTGGATATTAGAAAAAAGTTCTTTCCCCAGAGGGTGGTCGAGCACTGGAACAGGCTCCCCAGGGCAGTGGTCACAGTGCCAAGACTGACAGAGTTCAAGAAGTGTTTGGATGATGCTCTCAAGCATATGGTGTGACTCTTGGGGATGGTCCTGTGCAGGGCTACGGGTTGGACTTGATGGTCCTTGTGGGTCCCTTCCAACTCAGCATATTCCATGAAAAGAAAGCCTGTGAAAGGTCAGAGAAAACCAGGTGACAGTAATGGTGATGGCATCTCACAAGGGGTTTGAGGGATTTTGGGTCTAGAGCGCTCCCTTGAGAAGTGCTGGACAGCTGGGGTTTTAGGAATTGCAACACCCTGCAAATCTGTTCCTTCATATGGGGCAAGTGTGATTTTTGAAACTTTTGTAGATGGTGATAGATCTGGGGTAGGGATCCCCAGCTACTGGAACCATGTAGTGTTAGTCACTCAGTGGGAGCCCATTTGTGAGGATGGTGATTTGCCCCTTAAGGTTCACAAAAGAGGTGAGTTTAAGTGATATTCATGTTCTCTAAAATCTGCTTAGTTTCTAGCCACATAGTTTTCTCCCTGGGTCCAGCCTTCATTTCTGTGCCATTTCTTTCCCTTATTATTTCTCAGTTTACAGTTTTTCCTTTCCTCTTCAGTTCAGTGAAAAACTCACACTAGCAGAGGAAAGGTTATTACCATATAGAGAAAAGAAGCAAGCTAAAAGTCGTTTCATTTTTTTTATCCCAAAGGAAAGCAAACCGAGGCCAATTACTTGAATTTTAGAAGTTACAAGTTACAATAATAGGTAAACAATTTGCAAACAAAAGTGTCATCTTTAAAGTGATGGTTGCCTTGAGGTTATTTGGAGTTCTAGTTGTCTGGTGTCATTTGGTTTCCATGTAATAATGAAGAAATATGCTAGAAAAAAGCAGCAATGCTGTGAGTTTCCCCCAGGAGCAGTCAGATCCTTTCTCCATCATTAGCAGGATTGAGCAGGTTGCCTTTCCTGGGCCACCCACAGCCCATTACGTGTAACGTGCTGAATTAATCCTTGCTAACAGCACATAGAGACTGAACCATCCTGTGACCAGGACAAGGAATACAACATGGGAAGAAAGATAATGTAATCAGAAACCTTTAAGTTTGGGAGTGCTAATGGCTCACTCAGTGTGGGGAGCAGGAATTAACTCTTCCATTTGCATTGCCCACTTGTAACTCCGTCTGGGCAGTTGCACACCGGAGTGGTCTGTACTGAGCTCCATGGCTGTGCTGAAATAAAGCTTTCTTGTTCTGCCTCAGGAACACCCACACGCCAGGCTGTGCTGAAATAACTCTGCTCCCAAATGCTGCTGAGTTGGTTATTTTGGTGCTGGGCTGAATTTGTTTGTACTGAAGTCAGTGGCAGAATTCCCCGTTGTACCTCCCTGGAGGCAGAAATGGGCTCGGTGTGTGTGCCAACCTCGCTGGCACTCAGGAGAGCTGGGATGAGTCTTGGTGCTCCACAGGGAGAGCAGCCGTGTGTGGGCTTGTGTGCTTGAGTGTGCCCTGACTTTGTGGCACTGGTTGCTTTTTGTTGCCTTTCCTTGCCGGTGGCTGTACCACTGAGCAGACATGGGCAGTAGTCCCAGCTCTTCCCTGGCCCTGGGGTGCAGCTGCACCTGTGGACTCTCCCTTGCTCTGTTCAAGTCGGTGATGACCTGTCTGTCCTGTTGACCTTTGGCTGCCTCACTCCAGGCTCACAGACACATGGCCAAGGGCAGGATGTCTGCGTTGCAGGAAGGTATTGAAGTGGTGTTGAGCACACTGGCCACAGGAGTTTCCAAACACTGCCACAGTGTGTAGTTCCAGGGTTTAGGTGGAGCAGTTACCTTGCAGCATCTCCAGCCCTCCTGCATCTGGACTGGTGGTATGGGCAGGTATGCTCAGCTCCTGGGCAAACCTCATGACATCTCAGCTTGGTTCAGGGAATGATGAGGGCCATTAGGAGGCTTTGGCTGTATTGGTGTCACCCCACAGCAATCCAGGAGATCCTGCCTGGCATTGGCATGATTGTCATCTGTCTTCTGAGTTGATCTTCCTCTGCTGTTTCCTTCAGGAATAGTGTACTATTAACTGTGCTGACTTCTGCACACTGTACATTTTCTGCACAGAGAGGTGAGAATAAGCAGTGGGGTTCCCAGAACACTGTTCTATCTCACTCTGGAGGCAGCACATCTAGGATGGCACAGCAGGAGATACTGGAGGCTGCCAATCCTTGTCTACATCAGAGTTTTGATCACTGCTGTTCTCAGGAGCATCACACAGATTTTAGTGACAGTGGGAGAGCTGGGATGACTCTGCTAGTACAGATGTGGGGTAGAGAGAAGGGGGAACAGCAAAAGGAGGTAGAGGGAGGTGAGTGGCAAGTGCTAAAGCCCTATGTTCATCTGCATCTGAGATTTCTGCAGACCAGTGCTGTGGGGCTACCTCAATGGTAGGTCTTTAGGGAAACTGTGAGTAGGGAAATTGTACTGACATCCAGAGAGCTGGCAGGTTTTCTCCAGTAAGAAAGAAGGAAACCCCCTCAATCACAAAGCAGTCCTTTATTTCTGCTCTGGTTCTGCCATTCTGCAGCATCCAACTGCTGTTTCTTAGGTCTTTTCAGCAACATTTGTTTAATGTTGGCTTCTGCATTCCCCATGTTGTTTCATGACCTGCTGTCAGCATAAGCTGTTGAATTTCATGGGGCTTTGTAGGTGAGACATAGCCTTTGGTCTGACTCTTTCACAAGGAGAGATACCAGACTGTAGTAGTGTCAAGGTTGTGATACTGCTCCAGAAAGGATTCAGAGTGAGAAAGCAGTAAGGTCCCTCTCTCCATCCTTATCTGCCCCTGCATCAATCAGTTGACCTCCTCTGGACACTGATAGAACGAAGCCTTCTCCAACCTCTCCTGGAGTGGAGGTGCCGCTTCACCAGCCCAAGAGGGAAGGATTGAGGAGTTGAAGGAGGATGAGCAGCAGCAATGCCAGAAGCCACACCAACACATTTAGCAGGTGTCACAGGTCTCAGGAAACTATCTCATTGTTGTGTGGTTCTTAGCCCCCTGATGTGCCAAAGTGAATAATGGAAGATACTTGATGCCACAATTCTGCCAATTTTCAGGTGCTTTCAGTTGCCCAACCTAACATCTCTCAGCACCAGCAAGTCCTGGAGAAACTCTCGCTTCTCATTGTTCCACATCTTGTCTTTCAAGTTTGGAGCTGTCATCCAAATCTGTGGTTACTCTTGTGAAATCTCAGTCAGCTCCATTCTTCTGCCTAAAGATTTGTCTGTTTAGGGGTATACAAATTATTGTAGAGATC